ACACTTCCGACCTAATGGGTCTTTGATGGCTACCCTTGATACAAGTCCCTTTCCTTAAAGGAATGGAAGAAAGTTGATTCTGTCAGGACCTCTCTTGAGTGGTATTTGATACAGCTCATTTCAAGCCATACTTGGTCTCCACGCTCACTGTCTGTTCTTGAATTGTATAGTCAATTTCTGTGTTTCTCCAGTGCACACTGTGCAAAGAACAACCTATTCTATTCTATTTCTTATTGCTTCTTTTGTATACTTAGATTAGAAATAATTTAGGTCACGGAATAACTCTTCTGTGAAAGTAGGTATGACATAGCACAGTTGCTCCTAGTGTACCAGAATACTATTTATAAGTGTTAAATGAAATAGATTTGTCTGTGCCATCAGAAAGACCCAAATGTTCTTATCCCATTGTATGGGAACTGCTGAATCACAGCCTGAACCTCTGATTGATCACCTGAGGCGAGCCATGAGTCAGCCAGAGGAGCACAGGTGAAGGCAATTCATCCGTGCTGCCGGAAGGGGTGGAGCCTGGCTGCACCTCTCCTATTTAAGAGCCGGCTACCAGTAGGGAAGGATATCTTCTGGAGATCACATCTGCTGGTGTTTGGTGGGTGAGCCCAGGATAGGGGTAAGCCTTCTATTTTTTTCTCTTTTGTTATCATGGTCTACTTTGCCTAACTCTGTTGTTTATTTTGTGGTTATAACATCCTAATATTCTTTGATTATACACCCATGTACAAACTCTCTGATGTCCTCTTGGTGGTACTTTCAGGAAAAGAACAGAATTGCTGTAAGATAAATATTCTGAGACATCAGCATCAGTACCCCACAAACAGAAAAGAAGGATTTTTCTCTATCCAAATATTTTGCAAAACCTTTCAACCTTGGCCTGGGGAGCTGTGTGCTAAAGTAGTTATATCTGAGCGCACTCCTCTGTTTATTCTTTTGTTGTCACGCCCAATAGATAAAATTGATATGTCTGACTGACATCTGTATGGATTTTGCATACACATCACAACACGAATGAGAAAACGGTCTCCTGGGAGACTCTAGGACTCTTGTTCATTATCACTCTCATGATTCAAGCAGATGATGAGACTTCCAATCGTATTCTCATTCCCGTGCTCCGGGTTGTGATATGCAGCACATTGTTTCCACCAAACCACCGTACAAGTGATTGATTTTCCTGTCACACAGTTACTGCAATATGGCTGTCCCTGCTTCTAGATGGGACACCTTAGCAGAGCAGAAGTTGAATTATGTGCTCCAGACCTAGGGACAAATTTAATCTAAGATCCAGGCCCACCAAGTCAGGCTGCTGGTGGGTGGGGAGGAAGTAGTTGGTCTCACAGCAGCACTCAGCTCTTGGCCTTGCAACATCTCCCATAAGTGACACTGCAGTGAAGCAAGAGAGAAGCTCCCAGTCATTAGGCCAGTAAATGCCAAACTTGTCTACTTGTCTCATCTCTTAAATAAAGGGGTCTCTGCTTTTAGGTTTTTTTCCCCCTACATCACAGCAAGCTGTAATCAGTGTGTAGACCAACAGAAATTCAAGTATTGAGGCAGGAGAGAGACCAGTGAAAATCCCATTCTGCTCGCAGACTTTTTTTCCTGAACCGCTTCTATGACTGCAGATGTATTCATGAGAGAGGAAATAAAATTTTCATTGTTAACCTCAAAATGATTTCACAAGGGTTCAGTGAAATGGAGATGTTAAGAGAATTAAACAAACTGCACTGAAAAATGAGACACCATTTTCATGACTTATGCTTTTAGAAGAATTTGGATAACGACTGCAAAAGGTTAATATGCTTTATATGAATCTGCAGGTTACCCTTAAATATAAAAAGCAATCCTGCATAGCAGGGACATCTGCTGGAAGCTTGACGCCAGTGTCTCACCCCTGCTCTTGGCTATGAATCTCCGAGCAGCCCTGCAGCAACTCGCAGTGCCGCCAGTCGGAGAGCCAGCTTCTGACTCATTAACGATTCCCTGCACACCTTCACAACATCCAGGCAGTGGGAGCAAGAAATCTTTAAGCTATACTCGGGAATTTAAATGGAAACTTTTGCATCTCAATTGAAGGTTATACTTTTCTTCCAAATGCCTGACATTGAACTGTCTGTCACGGAGGAAGATTGGACACTGATGAAATCCTTTCCTTCCCCAACTAGATACAGCCAGAGAAGGTCAATGTTTTAATTATGTAGAGGAGACAGTAGTCTGCAATTTTGGTATGATTGCACCAAGGCTAAGAAGCCACCTTTATCGAATTTAAAATTCAAACATGAGATTTCATATTATAGCATTTAAGTAAATTGTCTCTTTTCTCAAGGAGACATTGACCACACCCCTCCACCTGGGAAGCGGCTTCCAATCTCTCTCATGCTTGCTCCTGCACAGTAGGATCACTGTTGGATCAAACAGTACTGCTGGGAGCAAACTCTGGTACTCTGTGTTTTGGTTTTGGACAATGTTTTGGAAATTACTGCAGTGGTGCTGAAAGAATTCACTGAGTCTTCCCTAGGAAGAGGAAGCCCCGTTCTGTGCAATGGCAGGAAAGAGAATGCTTTGCAAACTCAGTTTCCTTTTCTCGAAGTGCAGGAATACGGCTGATGCAAAGCATTCTAGAAATGAAAACAAGCTTTATTTGATTCAACGAATGCTTGAACTGTGTTTAACACATCATAGGTCTGTTTTCATGGGTATTCCCTGGTGTAATAGTTTCTTCCTGCAGGTACTAGTTCCCATCTGATGGGAGATTGCTTTAAAACCAGTCTCTGCTCTTACACTGTAAGAACAATTCTCCCCCTCGAGCTATTTGTAGACATAAACATGTTTACCTTCACCTGTTAAAGCACCAGGAAAAAAACATTATCCCCTTGAAGGAGATTAATCCCCCAAAAGCTTTTGAAATGTTTTAAAAAGCTTACTACCAGAATGAATAGATACACTAATAAACCTAACTAGGCTCTTGGCCCAGACCCCCAGAGACAGGTTACATGTCTACCTTTGGCTCACATCAAGTGGCAGGTAATGTTGATAGCCTGGTGTGCTGTCCCCAAGGGTTTATCGGCGCTGTACAGCCAGCACAAACAGACAAATCAGCAAAGATACCAGAAAGTGTCACCAGAGACCCTGATCTACTGGAGTTGAGGCGTATGCTCTGAGCTTGCATTGCCTACCTTTGGGTAAGTGCTAAGCACTGCAATATAGGCGTTGCCTGCCATTACAGGGATGTGGCTAACACATCGTTTCAGGAGAAAAAAGATCTACCTTCCAGTGTCTGCTCCTAACCATGCTTGTGTTCATCAGGCAGTCAGAGCAGGAACTACCCACAGTCTTCCCTTCCCAACTAAATAAGCCTTTTCCTCTGGACCAATTAAAAAAAAAATTGCTCTGTGCAAAGTCAAACTTTTCTCAAGAAACCCTGAATGCAGCATGCCCTGAGGTAAGGGAAGAAAATGAGAGCTGTGTGAGCTGTGAGGGTAAGTAAAAGAATTGGCTTTAACACCACTAAGAACTCCATCTAGAAGACACTCTGATAATTCCCCAGAAAAAAAATGCAAGCTTGCTAGGATTATTTCTGCCTATTCTGTAAATGCAAGAGGAATCATCTTTCTGTAGGTCATGGATTAGCCCTACGCGGACCCTGATACATCATGGAGATGTAGGATTAAAAATAGGCGCTTCTGGACTTCATTTAAGTTCAGGTGCCGAAGAACAAAAGTTGCCTTCAAAGTGTCATAGAAAAAAATGGGCGGATACAGGCTTCAATGAGACAAAAGTCAAAAACAGACACAAGGAGGCAGGTGTCTCCTGAGGAAGCGGCTGGTGTGATGTACAATTGCTGCAGTGAGCAGCGGTGTTCTCCTTGGTTTGACTCCCAGGCAGGTGTCCTGTGCTGTGTAATTCTGTAGGGAACAGGCAGGCCTCCTGGGAGACAGTCAGGCGGGGAGGCCTTGGCTGATCCGCTGTGTTTATGAGGCAGCTTTATTTTGAGGAGATGGAACAGAAGCAGTATAGGAGAGGGCATGTGAATTATCTCCTTCAGCATGCACCTCACTGAGTGACCCCAATGCCTCAGGTATAAAAACAGAGCCTGGCCTGCGCTTCAGAAAGGATGAAATCTGTCACAGTATTTTTAAAGCATCCCTGCAAGTCAGTCTTCAGAAGTGTGAGATTTCAGTGGGGTCCATATGTACTAAAGCATGTGGTGTCTATCAAAGATAAAAATTTCAGCGAACTCCTGCTTTTGCTATTTTACTATATGTAAAAGTGCCTGCTTGAGTTACATGGGTGAAGAAATACTGTAAGACTACCATTGGCACATGCAGCCCAGAGAGGAGGTGGGCTCACTGTCCCTGGAGGTGTCCAAGAGCCATGTGGATGCGGCACTGAGGGACGTGGGCCTCATGGTGTGATGGGTTGGTGGTTGGACCAGATGGCATCGGTGGTCTTTTCCAGCCTTAATGATTCTGTAATTCTATGATACGAGCTCTCCTCCACTCAATTAGTTTTAGAATGGCCACTTGTACAATGATGCCATTTAAAGAGACGCAATGGAAGTTTTCAACACCAGTGTTGGGAAAACAAGTTAGACAGGGCCCATAGGGCTGCCTGTCAGCTCGTCACCTCACGGCGGCGTCGCGAAGCGTGCCTTCCCTGCCGCAAGCGTCAGGCCGCTGCGATGGCCGTCGCGCCCGGCGGGCGCAGCGCCGCCCCAACAGAACTACCATTCCCAGTAAGCACCGCGACGTGGCAGAACCCGTTGTGCGCATGCGCAAAGTAGGTACCACGCATCCTCCCTACCGACCCTTTGGTTTGTGACCCCTTCTCTCAGCCCATTAGCCAGCACCAGCAGGAAAGGGCCACGTCCCCACGTGCTTCCTGGGAGGTGTAGTTTTTTCCCTACAAACAGCCCGCGAACACCAGCGGGGCGGGCGGGAAGCGCGCACTACAATTCCCGGCGTGCCGCGCGGCGCGGCCCGGAAGGACCCGTCAGCAGTCGGAGTTGGCCGGTGCTGCGGCAGCCGGCGAGGAGCGATGGCCGGGCAGATGGCGGTTCTGGGTACGTGCAGGCAGCCGGCTGGGGGCCGGGGCAGTGCTGGGGTCGGCAGGAAGGCGGGCGGGTGCGGAAGAGTGGCCTGGCCTGAGCCGGGCGGGTCTCGTCTCTGGGGCTGTGCAGGGTTGGTGGGGGCGTTGACGGGATGGAGCGGCTTTTCGTGATGGCTCCGTTATGGTTTCGGGGTGTTCCCTTGCTTCTTGTGGAGATAGGCGTTGTGCGGGGAAGTAGCTGACAAAAACCTGCGCTCTCTGCTCTGTTGAAAGACAGCAGTGACCGTCCTAGCTACGTTGGATTTCTTTTTTCTTTCTTTTTATTTATTTATTTATTTATTTATTGTACGTCGGTTATGTGTAAAATGGAAAAATCATTCAGTGTTCCTAAACTAGGTTACCTGTTTGTTTCGAGGCGTAGGAAAGACTGAGGGCTGTGGGAGGGTGCTCTTAGGGAGCTGGGGCTGAAGCAGCAGTGAGCATGTGTGTGATTTTTGTACAGCCTCATTAACTAGGTCTCCTATGAGAATTGTTCATAAGCATTTTCTCCCAAAATAGTAGTTGACCTACTGATTTGTCTTTCAGGCTCGGCAATTCTGGCTCTTCTGCTAGCTGGCTATCTAGCTCAACAGTATTTACCAATGCCCACACCAAAAGTAATTGGGATTGATCTTGGCACAACTTACTGCTCTGTAGGTGTCTTTCTTCCTGGAACAGGGCAGGTGAAGGTTATTGCAGATGAAAACGGGCACAACAGCATTCCAAGTATAGTGTCTTTCACGGACAGAGATGTATACGTTGGATATGATGGCCTAGAACTTGCTGATGCAAATCCTCAGAATACTATATATGATGCAAAAAGATTCATTGGGAAAATCTTCACTTCAGAAGAACTGAAGAGTGAAAGTAGCAGGTATCCATTTAAGGTGAGCAAACATCGTCTTTGCTTCTCTCCAGGCCAGTGATATGTAGGAAGCTTGAAATATGTAATGCAGAACCAGTTCTTCTGACTCTGAGTCATTCGGCTAAATCTGATACGCCTGGAAACCATAAGATGTACCCAGAGAGAAGAGGAGGAAATGCTGGTGGAAGTGGTGTACTTCAGCATGACAGCTGATGATTTTCTAGGAAACCCTGTCGTCCACTGTGAAATATGTTTCTAGGTTATGTTCCAGCGTAAGCTCCAACTCAAAATTTTAACAGTACCTTATTTTACTTCGAGGTACGTACTAAAAAAAAAGGTGTAATGATTAAGAAGCATTACTGTCATCTTCAAATGTGTGGTTGTATCACGTAGCATTAAAGATGATTAAGCAGTTGTTTACAATCATGGAATAAAAGTGATTAATGAAGTGAAGAAAGTACATAGAATCAGAGATGTAGAATGGTCTGGGTTGAAAAGGACCTTTAAGATCATCGAGTTCCCACCTCCCTTCTACAGGCAGGGACACTTCCCACTCATCCATGTTGCTCAAAGCCCCATCCAGCCTGGCCTTGAATGCTTCCAGGGAGGGGGTATAGATAGATACATCCATATCTTTCCCAGAATAAATGAGCAATATGCGAACCTAATATTTGGTGGTAGCAGAGGAGGAAATGTAAGAAAAAGATGTCTTACATATGAGTTGTGTTGCTTTTCCTCATAGATTTTCAACAACGATGGATCAGCTGAATTTTCTGTGACAACTAATGAAACCTTTCGTGTCACTCCGGAGCATATCGGCTCTCAGCTGCTACTGAAATTGAAGAGAATGGCAGAAGATCATCTTGGTGTGCCCATTTCAAAGGCAGTCATCTCTGTGCCAGCAGAGTTTGATGAAAGGCAACGGAATGCCACTGTTAAGGCTGCTAACCTTGCAGGTATTGTCTTTTTATTCCAGAATTGTTTTGTGGAGCCTTACATTATGTTTATTTCACTAGTGGTAAAGTCTAGGGAGAATGGAAAGCCTTGGAATGGATTTGTTTTTTTTTCTTTAAGACTGCTAACAATTATGAAGAACAGCACAGAACTATTGGGTGTCAACAGATGCAACAGACTAATGCAAGCATAGGTGGCTAGGAGAATTGACCCTTCATCTAAGGATGTTATTTTTTTTTGTCATCTCCAAATAGAGAGAACATACAGAGCACAATTGGGCAATAATTAAAATACAAATAGGATGTGGAATCTACTTAGCCAAAGGGTCTCTCGAGGAAACATATTTGTGTAGATGCCTTCATCCTGACAGTGAAATAGTATTACTTCTGGCTGAAATAAGGAAAATAATTTTCTAAGCAATAATACTTGATTAACTATTTCCACATAGCTGACATTTCACTCAAGGTTAGTTCTAAATAACTAATAGTAAATTAGTTGTGACAGTGAGAAATACAGTTTTTGGAATTGTATGTGACTATTGCTTTGCTCTTTTTAGGGCTAGAAATCTTGCGAGTAATCAATGAACCCACAGCTGCGGCTATGGCTTATGGACTCCACAAAGCTGATGTGTTTAATGTCCTGGTGGTAGATTTGGGTGGCGGAACTTTGGATGTGTCTCTGCTGAACAAGCAGGGAGGGATGTTCCTCACACGAGCCATGGCAGGTGAGAAAAATGCTTTACTTTTCTGAAGGAGTAGTAGGAAAGGAAAGATAACACCTCTCATCACCTTTAGGGAGGTTATTTAAAAACATACCAGTCTCACAACAAAGTGCTCGTAATTGCCTTTCATATGCAACCAGGTCTGCAATTGGTTTCACCAGTTAAGAGAAATTCAGTTTTAAAGTGACTCCAAGTTATAAACTGTGGTTTAATTTTATCCGAGGCTGTTGATATTTACTGGTGTAAGTGCTGCTGCTTATGGAAAATACTTTGTTCTAAAGCATTCTATTACCTTTGTTTGAGCTGAGTATTTACCAAGTAAGTTTACTAAAGCTGAGTGCTTTACAACATCACTGCCTTGCATTTGGCTCCAGTGCAGTTGTGTAGGACTTGATGACTGCACTGTGTTAACCCAGAAGTTTTTTTTTTTTTTGTTTTTTGTTTTTTTTTAATACATATATACCACAGTGATTCATCACTTGGGAAAGAGTTTTGGCAGCAACATTTAGTAAAACTGGAGTGAATGCACAACTGCTTTGCAGATGACCTAGATTTGGACAGATCTGAGATGCTCTTAGCATTGCCTTGAATGAACAATGTTTGATGTCCAGTAAGAGTGGAATAACAATACTTAACTACTTCATTCTGACTTATTTGGATGGATGTCCGTTAAGTGAATTCCCGTTTTCACTCATAGCAGACAGGTAGAAACTTTGAGAGTACTACTCAACATAGATGAAAACTGCCAGGCCACTTTTAAATCTGTTTAATGTAAAGCATGAACAACTCTTTGAAAGGTTTTGGAAATAAGGTGCAAGAATAATCTTGTAGAAGTAATACAGAGTACCTTCTCTGAAGGCTAACGTAAGACATACCTGTTAATAGAACTTGAACCCCACTACTTGCATTTACTCACTTTCTTTTGCTTTTTTTAGGATATTTCCATATGCTTCAATGGTATGCAGCTTTTTCATGTGAATGGATGAAACCATTGGATAACTTGAAAATGTTAGAACAGAACTCCTATAAAGCTGCACTGTGGTAGTACTAACAGAAAAATCCATCTGGGCAGAGAGAGAGAGATGTGAATTTTCTGGGAATCTTAGCTGGGAAAATAATTTGCTCTGAGATACTGCACTTCAGTGGCATGCTACCAGCTACAGATTTTTCTTGTAACTTATTTTTGTCTGTAGGAAAAAAAAATAATTAAAAAAATCTGGAAGTTACAGTCAGTCATGTACTCTTCAGTGGATGATAATTTGTTAATCTGTTTTCCTAGTTCTGTTAGCTCTTGTTCGGTGCTTACGGTCCTAGTATTGTTGTTCTGGCCCTGGAGTTCTATTTGCCAGTAAAGAGGAGATGTGAGCTGCTTTCTGAATTTTCAGAGGTGATATCTGATGCACTGTATTCTGATGTTTTAGGTAACAACAAACTTGGAGGACAAGATTTTAATCAGAGGTTGATGCAGCATTTATACGATCAACTCAATCAAGTATATGGTTCTCTGCCATCAAGAAAAGAAGAAATACATCGCCTCAGACAGGCTGTGGAAGCAGTTAAGCTAAATTTGACTATTCATGAGGCATCTACATTAAGGGTGTCATTGACTGTGCCAGAAAGGAAGCTTACAAAAGAACTGCCTGAAAGTGATGTAAAGCCAAATACTGTTCCTAACAGCAAGCCTTCGCAGAAAACGAAAGACTTGCAAAATCTTGGAGATGCTTCAGATGGAGAAAACAACTTTGTCAAAGTTGTGTTTGAAAGAGAAATTTCTAGGAAACTATTTGAGATGTTGAACGAGGACCTTTTTAAGAAAATTCTTGTTCCCATTGAACAGGTGTTGAAGGAAGGCCACCTACACGAAGAGGAAGTGGATGAAATTGTGTTAGTTGGGGGCTCCACCCGGATTCCTAAAATACGTGAAGTTATTCGGGATTTCTTTGGAAAGGAACCCAACACCTCCGTAGACCCTGATCTAGCAGTTGTAATGGGTGTAGCTATCCAAGCAGGAATTGTTGGTGGATCCTGGCCTCTCCAAGTAAGCGCAATAGAAATTCCCAATAAGCATTTACGAAAGACTAATTTTAATTAAAGATAAACTCTTTCCCATTGCATCCCATTTCTCCGAAAGCATACTCGGATGGTGCATACTTATCTGACTGTCAGTGGAGCCTAACCTTAGCCATATAATATTCTTTTATTTTTATTTTTTTTTTGTAATCTGTTTGAGCTAAATGTTATCTTAAAGGTACAAGTGATTTTTAAAGCTCTGAAGTCTTTGAAGTCATATTTGCCTCTAGATTGGATACAGAGTGAAAATCCTAAAGATGACACACTCACACTCTTTTGCTAAATTTTATTAGCAAATCTGGAAGAGGTGTTTGTTTAAAAATTAAAGAGAGTGTGACCAAAGTTTAGAAATAATGCAGCATTGTAGTATGGATGTTCCTGTGTCAAGTATATTTTATTTAGAAGAATGTGAAGCAGTGTTAACGCACATAGCACTAGCAGTGTTGAGCTAAAATTTATTTATTAAAATGAGTCATTTGAGCATTTAAAAACCTTTCTAAAAGGCATACTGCAGCTTGAATGAGATTTATACATTCACTTGAATCTTCTGCTGTTCATAACAGCATACTAGTTTTATGAAGACCACGTGGCAAATTACTGTCTCATGTTTGAGTCAAAACGTATTAAGAAATTTAGCTCTTGGTAATGTGGAGTTGCTTCGTGTGTCTGCAATGGCTAAATTCCTGAAACATTCTGGATGGTTAACATAGAGGTGCTGCTGTCTTACACTTAAGAACAAGTGCGTATCACCAACTGTTTATACCTCTCTCCACATTATTTGAAAACCATATTAATTTTATGTATCTTGAAGCTACATGTGTATATTTTCCTTTGAATTTTACCAACATGAATTAAATTGTCGCACAATTACAAGTGTATGACATCTTCCCCCTGCCCCCCCACCCCCCTCAGCTCTACTGTTTTCAGGGGAAGAAGTGTGGGACCAAATGAACTGCTTAGATGAAATCTAGTTCCTCTCGTTGATGAAAACTCATCCAGCTTTGTTTATACATTTTAGCTAGCATCTCTGCTAATATCTAGTATCTTTAAGTTGTGTCATATTCCTACTCTAAACTCAGCATAGATAACAGATGGTAGCTGTTCATCTGAGAAAGAAGCAGTGCCTGTAACTAAGGATTAGAGGTAAAGTTTCTTCAGCCTGTATTTTAAGCAAATACTTTGCCACTCACCTATCTAGCAAATGAAAGAGGAGAAAAGGATGATAAAATTAAATTTTTTTTTTTGGAAAGTTAAAGCATTACTTAATGAGCCAAGGGATTTTCTATCTGTTTAGAACTCTCAAGTGAAGGCATTCAACTCAGGATTGTCTTTATCCATCAGCGCAGTATCAGGTAAGCTTTAGTAATAGGTGATTTTAAGCATTTTCTTGTATGCTCCAAAAAATAACTTTGATAAGCATGCCAAGGCATCAGGTGTGGGCTTAGAGCTATGGTTTAACCTCTGACCACGTTAAAATAGGCCTATTATTCTCCTGGCATAGACCAGATCTATGGCACTGCCTTCCCAATTCTGCTGATGCAGCTGTTTGCATAGCTGTGGTCTAAACATACCTTTGAAGTAATCCTATTAAAAACCTCTTGAGTTTTAGTTTTGTTTAGCCATTCCATGGGTGGTGTTTAACTTCACAAAGATTCCCAAAATACCGATAACATTTAATTTCACTGAGTTGAAAACTAAAGGAGCTTTTTGGATGCTTTTTTTCCCTGCCTTTATACCTTTGAAAATCACCTGTCTTTACATCTATATGGGAATTCTAGTAAAATCTGATAATGTATTAAAATAAAATACTGCATGTTTATAAAACAAAAGGGAGTGAGGTAAGGGACCAAGGTGAATAGAACTAAAACTCCTGAGTTGAAAGAAGTCTTTTAGTGAAGTCGATGCCAGTATGCAGTACAGTTCTCACATGCAGTTGTCTTGCAGATATATTTGTGTACATTCACTATATTTTTTTCCAGAGTATTTGGAGTCATTGTGGCCTTTCTGCTGCCCTGCTGTAAATTCATCTCAAAATACTGTGGAATTTTTGTAGGACTTCAGGTTTTTTATTTGTTTAATGCAGGTCTGCTTATTTTACACAGTGTAATAAAATAGATTAAAATAAAACCACATTGCAGTTGGGCTAAACTATTAAAAGCTTTTTGCAGTTTTAGGACAAGTTAGGCAGAAGTGAGGGTGTAACTTTAAACTGTTTAAACAATGCAAATAAAGGAAGTACTTTAGCATATTCCTTCAGTCTAGAGGAGATTAAAAACAAAATCTCTAGTTTTAATCTGGGTAAGGGTAGGGTGAGTTGTTTATTAAGAAAAATAATTTGAAAAATTACAAAAGGGTATTTATTCTTTCAGTTTTCTATGCAGATTGAAGTAAAAAAGCTACTGTACATCAGATATCTCCCAGTGCATCCTTATTTATTTTCTGAATTCTGCAATCAAATTATGTTTTGTCTTTGATCTTACTACTGTGTCATATATTAAAATATATTTCATATTTGAAAGATGAGTAGGACACTGCACTAAGTGGATGTTTCTAGATATGCAGATGTACTGCTTATCAGAAGCCTTTGTTTAAATAAATTGGTATTCGAAGGCTGAACTCTTTCTACAAGCTCTCCTGGAAATCTTGAGTACAGTTACCTGTGGTATTAAGTGTATGAGAAGTTTATACAGTTAAAGCTTGTGTTGCAAGTTGAAATTCAAAATGTCTAAGCTGCCTCACCAGCAGTATGTTCCTGAATTGTTTCCAAATGCAGATGATGAAATGCATTTTATAAATAACCTTTTAGAATGTTTTTAATAAAAAGAATTTCTGTCCTCCAGCCCTGTCTTGTTTCAGTTTCCCAGGGAACTATTTTAACAGCACTGTTTCCCTGTTTATTCTTTGAATTGTGTCAGTCCAGTAGTAAGTACAAAAAGCCTTTTTCTCCCCCTAAATAAATAAAATTACCATACATGACTTTCTCTGTACCTTGCAAGAGATGTTGGTTGCTGTTGGTCCTGATGTCATTACCTATCCTAGTATGAATCCTAAAACATTTGTTTAGGAAATAGAACCCGATTTGTGTTCTTCCAGTTTCTTCTGTGCTACTTCTAGGAAAGGGTGGGTTTTGGGGGCAGTGTGAAGGTAAGTAAGAGATGGGACCCAAGAAGAGCCTTTCCTGGGCACCTGACTTCTTTCCCCATTTGAAATGTTGGTATGGTAGTTTCTGCTCTACAGGGAAGCCACTGCTGCCCTCAGGTGGGGGACAAGAAGAGGGGAAGAGATGTTGTTTCTCACCCTCTTCCTAAAACTGCAAACTTTACTTGCATTGATGTGTGAGCTAGCAGTGCAGGCAGCAGGAACCACCACAGCCCCACAGCTAAAAGGTAGAGTATGTGTATTTTCATTGCCAGCCTGGGGATCCCTACAGCAGGCACTCAGACCAAAGTACACAGGTAGAGACACAGGCACCGTGTCCATGCTTGGTCCGTGCTGAAGAATTACAAGCCTACTGTTTATGCTTGTTGAGGTGTAGTTTAGTTCTGTGTTTTGATCTTCTCCTTAGTAAAGCAGGGATCTGAACCATGTTTAATAGAGCTCCCCTACTTATGTTACTTATACATAGCTGTTCTACTTGTCAAACACTCAAAGAATAAATATCATTTATGTATTTTCCTTTATGACTACTATCCAAACTGTGTATTGCCAGCTGGAGCATGTTTACAATCCTCCTGGTCAGCCTTCTACTTTTAATCCATTTCTTCCTCCATTTGACCCCCTTTGTTTGAGAGACCACTACTGCTAGGGGTGGCAGTGTGGGAGAGGGTAATTTACAGAGGTGTGTAACATATAGGAAAAGGAATAAATATATCCCTACAATATTGTTTTGAATTAAATGTCTCATTGAAAGCATTGAGCTGCTCAGCTCACCAGGCACCACTGGCAGATTGTTTTACTTGATGTATTAAGTCCTAGAGATGCTGAAAGTCATCCTCCATGCTAGCTACTCCATTAGTAATGTTGGACCCATGCATGCCTCCAAACTCAGAACAGCATTTTATGTTGTTGAAGTGGGTGGCAGACCACTGCAAATCGATGTTGTAAGGTTCTTTGGCATACAGCCATTATTTCCAAATTTAAGGCAGCAATTACTTTTAATGTCCAGTGTAAATATTTCATGGGAGCCTGTGTCAGGTGTTCTGTATTTGCTACCTGAAAGAATAAGAATAGAAGCTAACCAAACTTGAGTATTTACATATTGATCTTGCAGAAATATATCTAGGGTATATGCTTGTAGTACAAGATTACGAAGCATGATGAGCCAGCCTGTAATACGGGAGGAAAATAGGAATGTCATCTCCTTTCAGTAATACACAGTCTGTTATACCAACTCCTTCCGCTGATATTATTCTGGGTTTGGTAACTTTGAGATTCACACAAACTGAAGTGCTACAGCCTGCACTTTTTCACAATGAACTTCAAGTTGATGTTGGTTCATGACACCAATACTATTGTTCCAGTACTACGGTTCCTAGGTAAGACACGTATTCATCAAAGATAGATACCTGAAATAAAATAAAGAACAGCTTCCTGTATTTTGTTTGGATTAATTGCCCAGCCTTAGTTCTGTAAGTGCAGTTTCAGCCTTTCAGCAGCTACTTAAATTTCTTGTTGTGACTCCACTGTAATCAACAGATAATCAATAGAAAGGTAAACTGAACATTAGCCACTTTCATTTGGTGGCAAATGGAGAGACTTTTTATGTCCCTAAGATAGTTCTTGAAAAGTATATTGCTTTTCTTGCCTGATAAAGGCAAACTGGCCTTAGCTTTCTAAACCAATCACTGTTCAGAAGAAAGCATTAGCAAGATCTGTTATCACCTTTCAGCACTGTACATTTTTGTTAATTTTTTCTACAAGAGTAACTATGTCTAATACCATAACTGCAAGTGTTGGGTGACTATTTGATTCTCTATAATCTACAGCCATTTCCTAAGTACTGTCCGATTTCTGAACAAGTCAAATAGGATTATTACAACAAGTTGTGGCTTCTTTAACTATTCCCACTTGTTGAAGTGTCTGGATGGTTTGAGTAACCTCCTCTTCTCCCCAGGATGTAATATTGTTTTACGGTCACCACCTTGGCAGGCATGGGCAGCACAGTAGGATCCTTTGGGAACCCATGCAAAATATATACAGATCAAATAATATATAATATATCCCACTTGAAAAGACCCAAAGCAGAAGTAATTGTTTAATGTTTCAACTGTCCATCCTGCCAATGCACTGATACCCCAAAGATAATTAGGGCAATTAACACTGTTGTGGTAAATAGAATAGTATTTACTATTGTT